ACAAATTTGGAGCATTCTAAAAGAATAACTGTAAATTCTGATAGAATGTAGTAGACATCAAACAATTGTAATTTATTCTAATCGACATTTCATCGAACACCTTTTAGGCACACACTGTATCATCACAGATTCTATCAGTTGTTACTCATTAGTCAAAGATTTCATATAATATAAACAGACATTTATACAGATAAATGCTTGCAACAATTTTGTATCCTACAAATTCATATTCAAAATCAATAACAAAACATATTTCTAGAAAATCACAGCGTACCTTGGTGGGCTGGTCTTTGCCTCTCTCCTAATCGATCTATCATCCACAAACGGTGATGTGGTGACCATTAAATCGACATCACCTTCAAATCGTCTAGTATTGCAGGAATCATAGAGAGAATAGACACAACCGTTGACTGAGTGGACACCCTCTAATTACCTGCTGCTTGAAGGATGCATCTTCGTTGTTGCTGCTTCTCTTTTCCGTCTCCGGTCGAAATCAGCGACGTGGGGCGAGAGGGATAAAGAAAGGTGAAGATCGACAGGTAAATCAAAGGCAAATCGAACCTGCCCAAAAGGAACAATCGTGAAAAAATGAGAGGTGATGAGGGGATGGAAAAATGTGTGTGAACGGCAGCAATGGGATAGCTGGCAATTTGGTTAGGGTTATAAAGATGCAAAGGTAGGATTAGAGAAAGAGAGGGAGAATAGATAATAAAGGGAAAAAATTGATGTCCACGTTTGTAAAAGAAATATATTAGGTATTTGTTTTGTTCCCTTAACTAGATTATAACCCGCGTTAAACGCGGGAAACGCATAAAAAACATATAATCGTTTATAGATATTGTATAATGATTATAAAAAAAATATATGGTTATTGGTATTATTGAAATGTGTAGAAAATACATTGAAAACGATATATATATATATATATATATATATATATATATATATATATATATATTATATATATATATATAAAATCATTGAAAGATCTCTTTGTAGACATCCTTTTTTGTTTTATTAGTTGAACGACTTTCCTCATCTCATATAATTATGATATTTATATACTTATAAGCATTTTAATTAGACGTTCATTGCATAATAATGTTACCTAATTTAAACATATATTGACAACCAATATACCGTTTTTTCTATTGCATTAAATATTGACAACTATTTCATTTATTCAAATAAAGTTATGCAATATAATTTATAAAATGTTAAATGTTATATATATATATATATATATATATATATATATATATATATATATATATATATAATTTTAGTATATCATCAATGGAGATTCTTTTCTAAATCATGATTGGTTTATTTTAAATTGATTATAAATATAAATGTTAGCTTTTATGTTTGTTTATATTTATTTAGTGTTCGCAAGAACTTTGCATTTGTTTTGGCGCAATTTTGAATAATTTTAGTATATCATCAATGTAATTTGATATATCTGTCAATTATATGAAATATCAAATAATGACATTTCATTACTATTATGATAATTTAGTTGATATATTGTATTTTCACTAATCTTAACGGTCTTATTTTTTCTAATAACCGTAACGCTTTTACTAAATGTACTTTTTACAAATCTCCTAATATCTTGTAATTTTTATCTTACTTTATAATTTTTCATAACTATATTATTTTCAAGATTGACTGCTTTAATAGTGTTTTTTTTTTCAGTCTATTCAATTTTATATTTCATTGTACAACATCATCGTTTGTATGTATTCTGAAATTTCACTTTAAAAATGTTTAATGTTTACACCTTGATATTATTTTTTTTAATAAACTCATCTAATAATTATGGAATATATATTTCATTTTAATTAACATTCACTTCCTTTATCATATCAAATTCCTCATTAAATGGATATACTTTTGGAAAATAATAATTATAATAGGGCAACATTATCTAAGACGTAAATGTTTGATATACTTTTGGAGAAAAAAAAAAACCAGGATCATTAAAAAAAGTTATATAAAGAAAATACAAATTTAAATTTGTTGAAATTATGGATGAAATTACTAGCGAAAATTTATTTTGGAGGGAGTTATATTTTGTAAGGTATAATAATATTTCAAAATTTGAAATATCTATATTTGTTGTGTAAATTAATAAATTTTATTGTTACTATACAAAGATAAAAAAGTAGGTTGATATGATATACAAAATCATAATAATTTCAATGATATTTTAAAATAATGTCAAAATTAACCGGATTCTTATGACATAAAAATTAAAAAAATCATAATTATCTTTAATATATAAAAGTAACATTTTCGTAATTAATGTCAGTTCCCAAGATAGTTAATTTTTGTTTTGTTAAAGGTACCTAATATCTTTTCATGTTTATTTGAAAATTTTCAGAAAAGTAGTTAACTGATTTCATGTAATTTGTGACAAAGAAAATCGAAATATATGAATACACACATTTGATATAGGAACAAAAAATAATCGAAAAAATAAAATAAAAAGCGAAAGAAGGTACTGACCTTCTAGCGCACAAGAGTGAATGTTTATAGCAGAGAATGATGATGGAAGTTATAAGCAATATTAACGATGTTGTGGGAGAAGGTTTGAAGAAAAGAAACGATTGAAAATAAATGTGAGTCGCGGATTCAATGATGATTCGTATATGTATGTGATAATTTGAATATGATTTTTCGGTATTAATGATTTCCTAATAAAAAAAGATTTTATATTAATTGTTTACTAATATAAACGGATTTATATTAATGGTTGATATTGAGGCCTTGATTGAAATGATTTGTTAGTAATATGTTTTTAAAATTGACCATATTAAAATCTTTATAGCTGAAAATTCAAGATGTAAAATATGGAAAACTTTTATTGGATAAAATACATTCTATTTCAACGAATGTAAGTTATTGATTGATGATTGAAAATCATTTATTGGAATTAATTACATTCCATATGGGGAAGATGATGTCAGCAATTTGATCTATGGGTGGAAAAAATAAGATTGAAATACAATCAATGGTTCAGATTATTTAAGATGATGTCATAAGGTTTCTCTTTTAGTAATATTTAAGATTGTAGGGATTTATTTAAATGATCTCATTAATTGCTAATGCAAAAAACCGAAAATACCCTTTTCTATTTAATTAATTATTTAATTATTTGCAATTTTCTGATTGGTGCATTTAGGCACACAATAGTTGCTAAAAACATTTGAACCTAACGCGCTCTCTCTCTCTCTCTCTCTCTATATATATATATATATATATATATATATATATATATATATATATATATATATATATATATATATAATCATATGAACTATTTCAGGTAACGGGTTTTGGTTTTGGTTTCGGGTAATCGGGACGGGTATTTTGTTTATCATCCTCGTAACCAAACCCGCAAAAATTTTCTAAAAGCATACCAAACCCGATCCCGGCCCCGATTAACCGACCCCAAAACCGAACCTAATATGTCGGTTTTCGGTTTTCACCATCGAGTTCAGATTCTTTTACCATCCCTATGTTGAGAGATTCAAAAGTATTAAGCCACTAGTTTAATTACCGTAAGACTTGTAATATTTCGTTATACTTATGTTTCTATATTGACGATGACATCCCAATGTTTTAATATAAATAAAATACATTTCTTCGGAAATGCTTTGATAATATGATTATCATGTTTTCTGGGAACAAATTCCGCAATATTATGCTTCAAAAAGGATACTCTGATTTTTAAATAAACATAAACAAATCGATATTTTCTGGCAATGAAAATCCGGATGTCACATTAGACTATAGACATTATGATTTTTGTCTTTTTGGTTATATTTTTCTCACCAAAAAGATAAAAATCAGGATTTTAACATATTTAATAATATTCTGAATACATATTTACTTATGAAATGGGGGGTTCAGGTTCCTAATCTTTTATGGTTATGATTTAACCCATTATATATATATATATATAGCCCAACAATGTATTTCAAAATTTTCGAATCAATCCCTTAACTTATTTTCATGCTTTATGAAAGAATAAATTTATTTTTGTCGGGTCTAATTGGCCACTTTGGACAAAATGAAGGGGTAACCTGACTACCCTTTTTCCACATAAACACTACTTGACCCATTTTCCTAACCCACATTGACTTTGAAAGGTCTAAAATTTCCTCATGGGGTTTACCGCGAGAAAAATTGGTGGTGACACCAACATGAAAAATTAAATATCCTCCTACATTTTATTCATACGTATCCTCCTACCATATCAAATGTTGATATGTGTCACATTTAATGAAATTGAAAATATTTTAGTTTACTTATCACCATTTAATGTTTATAGGAGGATAGTAGGACTAAAATGTAGAAGAATATTTAATTTCTCCACCAACATATATTTTGATAGGGAGGGGTGATTAGTTAAGAAGATCATATACACCGACCAATTAGGTTGCTTTGAGGCCACCGACGGCGAGAGATTAGAGTTTTATGATGGTGGTGATGAAGATGGAAGTCTGATTGACGGTGATTTTGGAGGCTGAGACTTAGAATGTGGTTTGATGGATCGGAAGGTTGTCAACAACATCATGCTGATTAGGCAACTACATATTCTCCAACTGATTGTGTGTCAAAGTAGACAAATTATTTCAGGTTAAAGAAACTAAATGAACATGACAACATCTACTTTATGTCCTTATAACACACCAAAAAAAGTTAAAGGAGCAAACTCAGTAAATTTCAAAAATATTATTGGACTAATGGTCATTTTGTCAATTATAAAAGCAGATAATAGCAATTTAAATAAAAATAAATATGAACAATAAAAATAGGCAAACAGTTTTAGGGCGTCGAAGGTCAAAGAGAGCAAGTCTATATTACAGGCGCTGATGAGAAGTGATCAAGTCCAAGACGCTGTCAAGCCCGCTATCTGCAGCTAAAGCCCAAATAACGCCATAGTGTCTCTAGTCGCTATGACCCTACGTTATTGACGACTATAACTATGCAGTTTGACTAGCTATCCTAAAAACCTTATTATCTTATTCTTTATCTCGTATGAACACCCATACAAAATTCTTCATGATTTGCTTCGAAAATTTGCAAACATTTTAGTTTAGTTTACAAGCAAAGTTCTCAGCATAAATCGAAAGTGTTGAATTTAATTGTTTAGTGGTAATTCACGTATCGTCTTCTTTGGTTTATGATTAGATTACAGAGTTCATTGTGCAATAATTTCCGTTTTGAATCGATCGCATTCCGGAGATTATCTTATTTTAGGTGAAGATGAAGTTTTACCTGTGTACATTTTGTTGATTTGAGCTGATTGGGCGTATTGTAATTAATTCGTTCCTTTATTTGTGCGGATGGATTTTAATTCGAATTGAAGGGGTAGGAGCTCGAAGAAGGATTCACGAAAAATGGCACCTCCTATTCTATCTCTAGCTTTACCATCAGAAACAGGTCGGGTTCTCAGTATTCAGTCTCACACTGTTCAGGTTCGTTTTGCTATTCGTCCCCTTCCACCGTTTGACTGCAAATTTGTTTGACTTATTGGAAATTGACATTAGATTATCGCTTTCCCATGTTCGATCAAAATCAGGAAATTAGTTACAGTGATTTTGATGACAACTGTTACTTTGTGTATAACACTTTACATGTTCAGTATCTTTAATGAAGCAATTCTTAATCATCCTTTGATCATACATCTTGATTTTCTAAAGTTGCTCTCTCTTTCTCTCTTTCTCTCTCTCTCTCTCTCTCTCTCTCTCTCTAGGGTTATGTTGGCAATAAATCAGCCATCTTTCCACTCCAACTACTATGTTATGATGTTGATCCGATTATGTCAGTGCAATTCTCAAATCATACATGCAAGTTTCTTTTATCTACTTCATCAAATCAAACACAAAGTTTGCAGGATACCCAACTTTCAAGCGGCAAGCTCTAAATGGAAAACAACTTTGGGAGTTGATAGAAGGCCTAGAAGCCAATAATCTACTATACTACACACATCTATTGACAGGTATTTGACTATTTTCTATCTTTTTTCTAATACAAAAAGCATCTTATTTAACATGACTACTTAGAAGAAGAATTATGATTTTATGGTTTTGTTGATGCATTTACAAATTACAATTACAGGTTACATTGGTTCAGTTTCTTTCTTGGATAATGTGTTAGAAGTAGTTAAAAAGCTTCGATCCATCAATCCTACACTTACATATGCTAAGTTACGAAGGATACGTTTTTTTTTTTTTTTTTTTTTTTTTTTTTTTTTTTGTAGTGTATATATATAGTTGCCTTATCATTCTGTGTTTTCCATTGTTACTTTGTGATCTAGTTATAGGTGATGAAGGAAAGTTGTATGTCCCTCAAGAATTGGTGTCTGTAAACTTTTGAAAACAAGAATGCAAAACAAATAACCAAAATAACTCTTTGATTAATTGGAAAATCACTCAAAACCAATGTTTTTACAATCTGTTCTCATAATCATAAACTCGATTATAGATAGGTATATATATATAGCCTAACAAACCAACTTGTATTAGACTAGGAAATTTATGACCAACTTGCCATAAACTAAACTTTCCATAAATTAGATTGCTTGGTCTCCAAGTCCTCATCGACTTAGGATTCCAACAATCACCCCCGAATCTCTAAGTCCTTCTAGAGAATTCTTCAACCCGATCCGTATTTAAAAAACGGATTCGTCACTGTCGTCACGTTCCGAAAAATCACCGTCTTGTAATTTTTGGAGTCGTTCCGGACATTCAGAAGCAAAGTGACCCGGTTTGTCACACCGAAAACAAATCACCTTAGATCGATCCTTTTCCCTATTTTTCCGATTCTTCCCACAACAACAATTACAATTTTTGCAATCAGAATTAGAATTGGACAGTTTATTGGGCCGACTGCTTTGAGAAACCCTATTATTCCCTTTGGGCCCGCCTGATCCGCCCGACCTGGATAACCCACTATATCCGGATCCACTTGACCCATTAGTCCCATTAAACTCATTTGCTTTATTAGACCCAATCGATCCTTTCCAATTTCCCTTCGTTCCCGATGAGTTACCCCCACCAGTCGACGACCCACCTCCATCTCCGGTCGATTTTTCGGCAAATAGAACCCTCGATTGTCCTTCTCCAGCATCGACTTCCCTTATTCTTTCTTCATATGCCTTCAATCGACCCACTACGTCTTCAAACCCTACCGATTTTAAATCTAGTACCTGTTCAAGAGATGCAACGATGTGAATGAAGTTTCTGGGTAATGATTTGAGGAATTTCTTCACTAATTTTGATTCCTCAATCGTTTCTCCTAATGCCGACGATGTAGACGCGATTCCGGACAGCTTTCCGGCAAAGCTATCGATTGTTTCTGACTCGAGCATCTTCAGGCGATCGAATTCCGACATCAAGGTTTGTAATCTCGCTTCTTTGACTCTATCTGCGCCCACATTACGTGCTCTAATCGCATCCCACAATTTCTTGGCGAATCCTGATCTCCAATCTGCATTATGAGGTTTTCTGGTAGGGCTTGATATAGCAAACCCATGGCAAGGCAGTCCTTTTCTTCATTGACATCGGTTCCTGGATCAATCACAGTCCAGGCTTTGTGGATGCGTAAGACAACCTTCATACGCATTGCCCACACGGTGTAGTTAGTGGATGTGAGCATCGGACACAAAACTGAGGTTGTCCCAACCTCCTTCACTCTCACCGGAGCTTCTCCTTCTCCCCCTGTATCTGTCATGTTGACCTGACTCGTCAACAGGTACAAATCGATCTCACAGCTTCTTAACCTAAGCTCTGATACCAATTAAAGTTTTGAAAACAAGAATGCAAAACAAATAACCAAAATAACTCTTTGATTAATTGGAAAATCACTCAAAACCAATGTTTTTACAATCTGTTCTCATAATCATAAACTCGATTATAGATAGGTATATATATAGCCTAACAAACCAACTTGTATTAGACTAGGAAATTTATGACCAACTTGCCATAAACTAAACTTTCCATAAATTAGATTGCTTGGTCTCCAAGTCCTCACCGACTTAGGATTCCAACAGTCTGTATATCGTGAAAAGGTAACATCTTGATATATATATATATATATATATATATATATATATATTGAAATAAATTTGATTACTTATATACAATGATTATCATCTGTTTTTGTAATTCTTGTTTAGGTTGTCCTTGTTGCATCAATGTGGACTCCCAATCAGTTTGAAGCTGAACAATTGACTGGATTCAGGTACTTTTTTCACCTTTTTCATTTTTTCCTAAAAAACCTTAAGTTTTTAATCTGAAAAGCAACAATATATAAAGATCTTTTATGATATCAACCCTTTGATATATTTATCCACCTTTTGTAGAATTGCATCTGAAGAAGATGGGCGAAAAGCATGCAAACATCTTCATGCAACTGGTCCATCAGAGGTTCTCTCTCTCTCTCTACTATTTTTTTTCATTATTTATTTTCTTTAGCATCTAATTTTCTTAAAATTTTTTTCTCAGGTTGTGATAACAAGCATATCCATTGATGGAAATCTTCTTCTAATCGGAAGTCATCAGAAACTAAAGGTACACATTCCACTAATCTTTTTAGTTTTATTTATTTTTAACTTTTTTGTTTTGTTAATATACAAATTCATTACTCTAATATGAATTCTAAATATGATAGGATCAATCTCCTGTACAATTCAAGATTGTCATCCCTAAAATCCCTGCATATTTCACTGTATGCATTTTCTTTTCTTTTATGTGTGTGTGTGTGTTTGTAGCATATGATGTATGTATTCATCTTTCTAGTTGTAGGGAACAGGAGATTTGATGACTGCATTATTACTTGGATGGAGCAATGTAATCAATGCATTTTTTTTATGCTAATTAGTTCATCATCCTTCAGGTTTCATATTTTTTTAATTAAATGTTGGTTCTTATAAATTGTCTTTTTTTCTTCTTCAGAAATATCCTGACAACCTTGACAAAGCAGCGTAACTTGTTGTATCAAGCTTACAGGTATCGTCGACGATAGATGCAATTCATCTACTTGGACACCTTATGGAGAAATATAGAGAAAGATGTATGAATCTCCATAGAGTGTTCATTGAACTTGGGAATACATATAATAATATTCCACGAGAGAGGATTTAAAGGACCTTGTAAGATAGAAGTTACAATAGAAGGGTCCTAATGAGATATATTATTTAGCACTAACTCGATACGTACTCTAAATCAAGTGAGTCAATGATATTTTGAACTCCATTAGTTGACACAAAGTGTAGTCTTTCCCTTTGGAAATAGGGCTTCATCACGGATCAACACTTAGCCCAGATGAAGGGTGCAAGGTGTGTGTTTTTACAGATGATATTGTGTTGGTGCCAAAGACAAGGATGGAGTTGAATGTTAGATTGGATATTTGGAGGATGACTTTGGAAGAAAAAAGGTTACAGTTATGCCAACTATGTTGCATGCATCCAAATGTTAGCCAACAAACAACACATATTAGAAGCTGTAGAGAAATAAGGAGGCTACTATGAACATGTACAATGGCGGAGCCAACCTTTGTGAAGTGGGGTGTATGGCCCCACTTGGAGTGACTAAACCTTTTATATACATCTAATTCTTTGCAACTATAGTTATTAAATATATGATTGGCCCCCACTTTACAAAAAGACAGGCACCACTTGCATCAAGAAATAATAATTTCATTCATTATTAGCCTAATATGGCACTGGTGTGCTCAAATACGCTAAGAAAACAAGTCAGATGCAACCGAGAAGTCACCGAAAAACACTCTCATTCACTGCAAACGACTAATAATAGTCACAAAACTGCTCAAACTCGTGTGAAACTGTCGAACACTGCTACAGTTGCCGATAACTACTCGAAACTACTTAAAGTCGCCGGAAAACGCTCCCACTAGTGGACCCCAGTTGACCTTCGGCCTGGATCCGCCACTGAACATGTGGTAAAACAATGTTAGATACAATTGTTAGGTTAATCGCTCATTTATCAGGTTCACGTAATCATATGCATGGTTGGAAACTTAGAATTAATAAGTATTTGTGGGTTTATATGTTATGTTTTAGTTAATAGTTTATTAGTTAAAATTGTTATTCTAGTTTTGACCGAATTCCATGGATTTATATGTATGTGCGTGAGGGGAGTAGGTCATTAGGTTGTACCAGTGTTTTAAGTGGACTAAATGAGTAGTATTTTATTGTTACTTTTATGGTTCATGTTGCTCTTAAAAGGCCATATATAGCTTTTGTCTGATATGAATAAAAAGTAGAGTTTTTGTCTTTAGTCTCCATTCACTGCATATTTAGATGTTTGGCCAAAAAAGTTTTTTTTCTTCTTCTTTTTGTCTTCATATTTGCGTAATAAACAAAAGGAGGCTGTCATTTTGTTTTTATATACTACACTTGGTATCAGAGGTTTGTGTGAATGTGTAAGCTGAATCTGATGGAAAAAGAGTCACGAAAGCAACTTCTACTATTGATAAGCATGTTCGTGTTGAAAAGAGACTAACCGATGGAGGTACATAAGAACATGAACATAAAGATGTGTCAAAGCACGTGACTTTGGATTTGGTCGGTGGAAAATGAACGGAAAAGATGCATTAAAGCATGTTCTTGTAGCTTGTTTTCTTGGTCGGTGGAGTAGTCTTCTGGAATAGGTCTGATGGGCAAAGGGTTAAAGCTATCAAAAGGAAGAATAGAATGACGATAACACCAGTTAAAGAGGAGGTTTGATGTCGTATCAAGTTCTGGTTTTGACCACATCAAATTATCTGGTGTGCAGTCAAAATAATGTTGATTATGGATGCACATGACACATGGGAGATGGTCAAACCGAGGATGTTAGGTGAAGAATTAGATTCAAGGAAGTCAAAACAAGCACTTACTTTTTGTTTCAAGCGATACCCGAAGACATGGTATTGCAAATGGCGAGTTACGCTGACCTAGAGCAAATGTGTGATGGGCTAAACACACGATATTTGGGAGTGGATCAGGTGAGAATGGCTCGACTTGCAACCTTAAAGAAGGAACTTAAAGGTTTGCGTATGAAGGAGGGTGAAATGGTTGTTGATTTTGTGACCAACTTTGTTGGTTTAGCCTCTAAGGCAAGGAGCCTTGGATATGAGCTTGAAAATTTGGTTTTGGTGAAAAGGTTACTTGATTTGATGCCTAAGTCCTTTTTTCCAAATCGTGGCTTCAATAGAACAATGATTCGAGTTGGATTTGATATTATTTGACGAGGTCGTTGGTAGGTTGGCTGGTCAAGAAAACCCTTATGTGTATAAACATTGTGACATTAGAAGTTAAAACAGTGATGACTTTAGACGTGGTCGTAGAAGAGGTTGCGGGTCTTGGTCCGGAA